CTTAGCCTCCAGGCTACTATCGACCCTTTGTCTAGGCTGTCACCTGCCCTCTCGTCCTGTCTTCTCTTATGTCCTCTCTTGTTATTTACTTGTATAATAAACATATATAAATACATACTATTCCATACAGAAGTATTCCTGATCCGCTACACGTCAGGTTAGGCCCGTACAGCCTATAACTTCATAGCGAGGTCCCGGGGAGATCCTACATTACACTTGTAGAGGCTGTCGTTAATCCCTTGCGAGGGGCGCGTATTAATCGAGGTACCGAACCTACGAAAGCAAATGTCACTCCGTCAATCTGACCGCTTCTAAGCGGTTGTGCTCCACGATTCCACTGCTCTCCTCGATTTCACCTTTCTATGCTCTATACAGGTATAATTTTTATTTTATTTTATTTTTAAACAGTTACAATTATAGTTTTATTGTGTATAATAATGGTTCTTATTTGAAAGATTCGGTATCATGAACAACCACAATGGCGAAGACCAGGCTCAGTCGCGTAAAGAGATGGCCTTAGCGGTCACACATGAAGTAAGTACTTCGCTTAGTTGGTGTTATGATTAAAATATGTGTAGCTATCTTATAGATATGTTGCTCCGTGTGCGGTGGGAGCAGTGGTACGAATACCAGATGAAACGCTTAATGGAAGCCGTAGCGATTGCGCAAGCACAAGCGCAAGCTGAGGCGGCCTACAGTAGGCAATTGCACATCGAGCGCCAGATGCTACAACTCGCGTTTGGAGAGGTGATCCACCGTATGTGTAGAGTCAGACAACGTTTGGAGGTTAATTAGTGTTGTTTAATATATATAATGGTTGTGCTAAAAGAAATTGCTTTTAGAGAAATAATAATCGGCAGACGGAAATGCTGGAGGTAGGNTTGGAGAGGTGATCCACCGTATGTGTAGAGTCAGACAACGTTTGGAGGTTAATTAGTGTTGTTTACTATATATAATGGTTGTGCTAAAAGAAATTGCTTTTAGAGAAATAATAAACGGCAGACGGAAATGCTGGAGGTAGGGTATGGCCCCTACCACGGAATATATGTAGAGTTGGCAAATCCGCAAAGGAGTGAACTAACCACCTTATACAAGTCGACCGTGTGCAGTGCCAAGACTAGTATTCGTATCCGCAACTCTCACTTGTCCGTATATTAGTCGAATCCCACCAAGACTAATATACGCTTCGTCAAGCTTACTAGTCTACTATTCGTATACATTACCTAGACTAGCAATTAGAATTGTGCAAAAGCTGACTTCATGTGCAAGTAAATATTGTTTATTCAAACACCTCATATTAATATTGTCGCATTTAAGAATAATATTGATAATATCCACCATGCTATCTTTAGTGGTAAGATATCATGTTGTATAACTGATATAAAACCCACTATCACACAAACGTAAACTATATTGTATAAGCATAATTGAAATAGCACCACTGTTGTAATCTACTGTCACATATATTATTAGGTTGATGAATAATTATTGCGGATTTCTTGACGGCTTCTTTTCTCTCGATAAAATTTGGATATTGACTTCCAAGTACGGCTTTCTATGAACCTCGGCTATATTTGAATATTGACATTGATATTTTATAATTATACTATGTATAATATTTTGGATATTGAGTTCGCGTTTTTTCCAGAAATGATCTACTTGGTTTCCTCTACAAGAATATACTCAAAAGACCATCCGCATATTCGCAAAATTAGGCTTTACTACTTCGCGAAAGATTGGAAGGTGGCTCAG